CCCCATCTCTCCTCCCCTCCCGTGAGCCACACTGAGGCCTGGTATTTTTTCCTGCGGCCCAGTACCTGGCCGAAGCCCATAGTTTGGGAAACGCTGCTTTATCTAGTTTAGCTTTAAATTCCCTGAGCGCTGGACCTCATTTCCTTGGGAAGGCTATTCTACAGCCTAACTGACCCCACTTCTAGGATGGGGCTACCTGCATTCCTGGAAGTCTGAAATCGGCTTCTTTTATTTTGCATTTTATGGTGGAGGGGGGTTTTCTGGGATCTTCACTTCCCCCACCCCAATATCTAAATCTGCCTCCATGTTCAATTGGCTTGGCCTCTGCATCAAGGATTTCCCCAATTAACAGCCTCCCAGGTGAAGCTGTTATTGATCTGTCAAAGTCAGCATAGAAGATGGTGCACACAGAGTGAGATGCTCTCCTCAGAGAACTGAATCCTTGTCCTGAGGAGCTAACAGCCTACAGGCACCAGGTGGCAGGCAGAATGCAGAGACCAAATACAGAACAAAGCCTGGATGTTCTTACTTATCAGGTTTCCAGGAGCTGTTTGAAGCTGGAGGGAGAGTGGAAGCCTGTTGTACGTAAATTGAGAGAAGTACAGGCCAGCAGGAAAGAAGGCCCAAAGCTGGCAGGGGCAGAAGAGATGAGCAGGGAGGTAAAGAGCTCTACTCTGGCAGATTTTGTGGTGACATGGAGAGAACTTACTACTTTCTCAATGTGCTGGTGCATCTTAGGAGTTATGGATTTTATTTTCAGGGTTTGCAGTGAAGCATAAAAGTCAGTAGTGGTGGCAGGAGGTAATGATGACTGTATTACCAGTTAGGACTTGTCTACACTGACACTTCCCTGTGCTGTAACTTTCTTGCTTAGGGGTTTGAACCACTTCTCCCCCACTTCCTGCCCTGAGTGCAGCAAGCTCCAGTGCTGTAAAGCACCACAGTAAACAGGCTCCCAGTGCTGTCAGCGACTCCCTTTGTGGAGGTTCTCTGCTGGACCCCTGGAAGGACAGCCACTGGTATCCCAAAAAGGCTCTCTCCCAGCTCGGGTGCCATGAACACACTGCGCATTAAAGAGCTGCCCTGGATGTGCTTTAAACTTAGCAGTGTAAACAAAGCCTTCCACACAGGGAATTAAAAAATAAAAGATTCTTCCCCAAGCAGCTCTCACTTTAGAATTTCCCTTTCTGACTGTACCCATCTTGCAGAGATGCTACTCAGGGACAGCAAGAATCAAGGGATGTTTGGGTGTAATTAAAGGAGAAGGGAAAGCACATTTCTCCCTCTACCGCCAGGACAATTCTACATCAGGAAATTGCATCACACAACCCTCAACAGCTACAGCCCCTAGAGAAGCCTGTTTCTCTTAAGTCAGCCTCCTTAGCAGTTGCAGATCTTATGGAACCACCTGAGATGTGGCCAACCCAACTACAGATTCCAGCTGACAATGCTGGGTCAAAAAGTATGTCTCTTACTACCTTCACAGTGAAAGATGAGCATAGCTGGATAAATCCATTTTGTACAAACCAGGTGCAGCCCTCAGGCTCTCCGCAATTGTCAAGGCTGGCCTCGGGTCAATAATGTGTTGGCTCTTTTGCCAGAAGGACAGCCACTGGTAGCCCAAAAAGACAATTTTAGGGTTACAGTAGGTATCAGTGCAACAATGCACCTGTTGGCCATCTGATCATCTCTGTTATAGACACATGCACACCAGCATTATGCTTTAGAGAGAAAACTAAGCTACTCTGGATGAACCAGAAAGTACTCTGTTGAGGTTGGTCCAGCATCTGTGATCAAGTGGGCCAAGTGGCAAGTGCAGTGATGCACACCTAACGTGATAGCCTCTTTCCCACTGATGCTTCCACTTTGAAAGTTCTTTGTTTTCAGCTGCCTGTTGGTGCTGATCATCCATATGTGGTAAGGGGTCAGTAGCATCTTCTCCAGGAGAGAGAGAGCTGCTGTTGCAAAGGAATGTCAAGAGATCCGCCACTGTCACACAATCTGCCGAAGTTGGGGTCCTCCCTTCAATGTAGGCAGGCCTTTGAGCTAGTGCTGCAAGTTGGGACATCAGTCAACCAGAAATGTAAGAGATTGATTTGCACCTGTCACAGTTCTCCAGGCAGCCCTGACAGTCATGACATCTTGTCAAAGGTCTGATGGAGCAAAACGCAGTAGCACAAACTGGAGTATAATTCAACCAGCCACTAATACAAGTGGCCAAATACAGCTCTGTGATGATCACCTGAGTGTGGCAGCTTCACCCCAGACCATAAAGCAGTTTTTAGTTGGAGCAAATATTATCAGGGACAGATGTACAAAAGATCAAAGGGTCTGTTCCCCCAGAGGTTCCCAATAGTTTTGGCATCAAGGTGGTACAAGAAGATCTCTTAATTTTGGGTGTTTCCCAGGGCACGTCGTATGTCAGGCTATTGTCACATTTTACTCATGAGCATGTGGCAATTGATCGCTAGGACATGCTGAACATTGAAATCTGGCTTTAGTGCCTGAGGAATGCAGTGGACTGTCTACATTTAAAGATACATATGTTCTATCAACAGCTAGCATCTCTGTTGTTCTAGATTTTCTGACTGTAAAATCTTTGTTCTCAATGATGAATAGCAATAGGCTCAATGAGAGAAACCACCTGCCGCTGTTTAGATGAAACATCTTCCCTCCTTTAGCTAATTTTTGACATTCCATTCAGCCCATGAGTTATTTTCTGGGCCTGTCAGCTGTTGATTTCTAGAGCCTTGCAGACACTTTCACCCAGCTGTGATCTTCATTCATCCCCTCTGGCTTTATCTAACTCTTTCCTAATTAATTCTCAACAGCCGATCACGCAAGGAACCAGCCAATATACATAGAAGCATCATTTGTGCAGCCCCAGAATGTGTCTGGAACATCTGCTTTTCAAAAACACTTGACCTCTGGTCAAAGCAAAATGGCTAAAATATGTGGCAGATGTCAGTGAGAACCATTTGCTGAATGGTGCACAATGTGGTTAACAATACAGGAGAAAGGATGGCTCTTTTCCATTCATGCTATGCTTTCTATCCAGAGGTAGTAGGCTGCAAGATACTCACCCTTTCTGGTGGAACATTCCATCAAAACCTACTGTGGCTATAGGAAGGGTAGAAAAATCTGTGCTAAGATTCCACTAAACTTTGCTCCTCTGGGTTTAGATTTTGCATCTGGTGCAATTCAGACCCATCCTGCCTCACCTGCAAAGATTAGACTCAAAGATAAATGGTTCCAATTGTTGCTCTCCTCTCGTGAAAATCCCCACTGGGGAGGCAAGGTTACTGAAGCAGTCAGAATCTCCATCAGTAGTGCTTCACACTTCTCTTAGTCACCAGTGCCTCCTGCACAAAGCAGTACACAATATCATCACTGGCCCCAAAAGAAAGCAGCCTGGTATTTCTATTCCAGCTTGCTCCACTTTTATAAACTGGTGTTCCTAACCCTGAAGGTTTGATTCACTGCCATTTCAACCTCAGCAATAAGGCAGCCTAACTATCCTTGAATCAGCAAACCAGTATGCATACGCAGGCATTCCCAAGCACACTTGTATATGGGTGGGGGAAAAAAGCCTTTGGTAAGGAAACAAATTCTCTCCCGTCTGTAAAAGAAAACTACAGGCAACTTGATATGCACTAGCTCCACCCCAGCAGTGTCCTTTCTGAGATCCAGAGTGTGACCTGACTCTAGAGATTCCCCATCATGGAAATCCAGAACAAGCTTGCTCCTGGCTACTTCCTACAAGGTAGTAGACTCGTGCTAGGTGGGCTCCATGCTGTGGCTCTTACCTGGGAGGCGGGCTCGGTGGAGCTTGTGGATACTGCCTGTCAAAAACGTGCAGATCGTAGGCAGGTGGTGAATAGACAGGAGGAGGCTCTTCGTCCGAACTGTCCGGTTCCAACGTCCGCTCCAAAATCTACACAATTAAATGAAAGAAAGAATAAGTGCAGGGTCAGCAGAGAAGAGCTTGGACAAGGCAAGAAGGCCCAGTCCTCTCCTCTCACATATACAGATGTAAATCAGGAGCAACTCTATGAATGTCCATAGAGCTGCACTGGTGTAACGGCAACATGGGACATGAATGAGACCTGTCACATATTTTAAAGTGGGCTAATGTGAGTGCTGCTAAATGCAGCAGTGTCCCTTTAAGACAGGTCATACTAAATCACTGGGTGGGAAACTTTCAGTTATCAGCGATAATTAGGGATGTAATAGTGTAGTCGATTAACCGATAAGCAAAAGCTTGTAGGTTAATGCTATAGACTACACGCATTCTCCCCCCTTCCCCACCACCACCACTTGCCAGTAAACATTTTAGCAAGCTAGCGAGCAGTCTGGCTCAGTCCTGGCTTGAAATGGGTCCGGGACCTACCCCTGCTGTGGCTCTGCATTTAAAGTGTATTAGGAGCTGGGTGGGCAGGCAGCCTGGCTCAGGTCCAGGAGCTCAGATCCCCCCGAGAGAGGGGCTGCTGCCTCTTTCTCAGAGGTAGCAGCACAGAGCAACAGGCAGCCAGTTTGCGAGGGGAGCTGGTTTATAAACTGGCTCCCCTTGCGGACCAGCTCCCACCTGGCACCATGCACTGCTGCATCTGATACAAAAGGAGCAGCATGGAGTGGCAGGGGGCTCCTCGGGAGTGAGGCTGGAGCACACTGGCTGGCAGCCCCCCCTCTCCTCCCCGGGGACTATAGAATAGTCGACTAACCGATAAGAATTCTTGAGGATACTCAATTATTCAATTAACCAATATTTATCATCCCTAAAGATAATGTGACCACCCTGTGAAAAAATGGCTAGTGGAGTACACACCATCCTGCTCCCTGGGAGGAAGGGTCAGGGACAAAAGCTCTCCCTTACAAATGTTGTAATAGGACACCAGGACTCAGGGCACTCAGCTGATCAGTTACAGTGTTTATCACTGGTGAAACTGAACAAGCAAGGCAGATACTACAGGCAGATACTTCCAGTTTCACACAGTTGGTGAACAAGCAAGGCAGATACTACACAGCACCAGCAAGTAGGTCTAAGTACATTTCACTTTGGTTTTTAAGAGTGTGCAACTATTCCTGCGCAATCAGGGTCTCAATTTTGAAAGGTGCTAAGCTCTTAAGGTTGGTTCTCAAAATCACTTTGGTCACTTAGGTATACCAGTGCCACTAAAAGACAATGCACTTTGCACACTTAAGTGACTTTTCAAAATAAATCCCTCCCTCAGCAACTTCTGACTTCTGTGAGAAAAGCGAGTGCCTTCCAGTTTCACACAGTTGGCATGGCAGATACAGTTGGCATGGCATGGCAGATACTTCCAGTTTCACACAGTTGGCATGGCAACTCCCCGTAGGCTGCTGACTCTATGGCCTTTGGCGCTGCAAAGTGCAATCACTCCTGGGGTTGCCTTTCTCTCTCTCCCTTTGGTAGCTCCCTATCCTCACAGTGTATGGAGAGTCTGCAGTTCACAGCCTGAAGGGTGTGGAGGGAAGTGTGTTCTCCACACCTTTACAGTACTCTGCACATGCAGTCCTGCACTGCACTGTCAGCATGGACCCCGTGAATATGGCCATGGTGCACTGACTTGATTTTAGCACAGGCTTATTTATTTTTCTCCATTAGGTGCCTGGCTCCCCTGCAATCTCTCTGGGGAGGAACATGACCAGGCAAGGAGCTGCTGCTTCACCTCCTCTAAAAGCTGATGCTTCCGGTGACTGTGTCTTTAATGTGATTCTAGCTTTCTACATCTCTCCCCAGCAGCGAGGTCACTCATGAGGAATGATCCTCTCCAGGAACAGACATCATGAAGGGCTGGCTCCAAAGCTAGCTCAAGTCAATGGAAGTCTTTCCTCTAACTCAGGGATTTCAAACCAGACCTCAAGTGCCTTTTCAAGTAAACTGATCTGGCCACATATTTCACTGACTGAATTACGCACTCGAATATATGCCTCAGGCACTAAACAAACTGCAGCCCACTTCTGAACTTCCTGCATATTTTACTGATTGGCCTCTAGAGAGACCCATGGCCTGATGTTCCTCAAAAAAACCAGAGTACCACAGACCTGGAAAATTAACATGCATTTCAGAATGTCTCTTAAACACTTATTGGGGGCTGAAGACTCAGTTCCTTTAATGCACCTTGGCAACGAAAGCTACAGAGCTTAAAGCCTGCTCTATACCTAAAACTGAGGTCAACCTAACTACATGCTTTGGGGTCAGTGTTCCCTCTAATTTTTTCCACCCCAGAGCGGAATGAATTTTCTTATGGGCACCAATGTGGAGGTGACGTGTGACATGGAGGTGATGTGTGACAATCACCTTCATATTGGTACACATAAAATTCATGTGGCAAGGATTCTGATTGTGGGAGGGGGCTCAGGCCTGGGGCAGAGGACTGGGGTGCAGGAATGTGAGGACTCTAACTGGGGAGATGGGCTCTGGTGTGGGGGTGGGGTTGAGGAGCTCAGGGATGGGATAGAAGGTTGGGATGCAAAGGCTCTGGCTGGGAGTGAAGGCTCTGGGATGGGGCTGAGCATGAGGGCTTTGGGTACATGAGGGGAGCTCCAGGTTTTGGGCAGAGCTGGGTGTTGGGGTGCAGGAAGAGATGTAAGCTCTGGGCTGGGGTGCAAGCTCTGAGATGGGGCGGTGGGTGAAGGTAGGGGTAGGGGAGGTAAACCCCCAGCCCTGCCTCTTTTGCTCAGGCTCCGCCCCCACAGGGGCCAAGCTGCACTGCCCCAGCACCACAGGGAAGTGGGGTGGTGAGAGGCTCTGGCCTCCCTCTCGGCACCACGGGGGTGGGGAGAAGGGTGTGTGACCCCGGCCTCCCCAGCCCAAGAGCACAGGGAGGGAGGAGGGCACATGGCCCCAGCCTCTCTGCCTCAGAGCACTGAGATGGTGAGCGGGCAGCGCACGATCCCAGCCTCCCCAGGCCCGGAACACAGGGAAGGTGGATGCTCGGGTGCAGCAACACTCCGCCCCCAGTACACCTACAGTAGGGTGTTCTGGAGGGGTGGGGCCAGGCTGGCAGTTTGGGAAGGCAATGTCCTCCCCCGCCTATTATACCCACTGCCCCGGATGGGGATGTGGGCTTTGGGGTACAGAAGGGTGCTCAAGGCTGGAGGGAGCTAAAGGTGGGGAAGGGAGCTGGGCTCAGGCTTACCTGGGCAGCTCCAAGTTGGGGCTGGTGGGGAGGGGCTCCTCCCCATCAGTCCTAGCAGCTTCAGGACTTGGGGGAGAGTGATCTCTCCCCACTGCAGACCTAAGTGGGGATTAACTGTTCCTGCAAGGGGCTTAATGGGAAGCTGTGTGACCGCACTATTCTCAGGGTGTGAAAAATTCACCTCCCTGAGAGACGTCAATAAGCTGATCTAAGAGGCTTTACAGACACTGCTAGACCAACGGAAGAATTCTTCCACTGAGAGGTGATTTGCTATAGCAAAAGAAAAGCTCAGTTCATCACTGTACTGTCTACACAATAATGCTACAGCGGCATAGCTGTCATGCTGCCATTATAGTGCTTGCAGTGCAGGCATATCCTAAAGCCTGGTTTACACTAGGAAATGAGGTCAGTATAACTACGTCGTCCAGGGGTGTGGGCAATCCAGTTAAACCGATCTAATGTAGTCAGCTCTACTGCCTCTTGAGAAAACAGAGGATCTATCACCACAGGAGAAGCCCTCCCATCAGCAGAGTTAGCATCTTTGCTCATGCACTACAGCAGTGCTGGTGCAGTGCTTTAAGTGCAGAGGAGCCCTCCATAAAATACCAGCGTGATTACTTATCTTCACAAGCTGGGGTCCTGCTACATCACGAGAGGCACCATCTGCGGCACCAGAATTGGGCTTTTGTGACTTAGAGATCTGTTTTCTCTTCTGAGCTACTGTAATTTGGCAGTTTCCTAATAGGTGCAGGATCGGTGGGCCCCGCAGGGCTGGAGCAGCCTGCCCGTGGTGAGTGGGGAGATGCTCCAGCCTCCACCACTTAATGGTTAACCTTTCACATCCCTATGCCCAAAGTCATAAAGTGAAGAGCCAGTCTCCTGCTTTAATCTCTTGTCGATGTTATTTTGCTCTAAATATCACCATGACACATCACCTTGTCAGATGTCTATGCAATTCCTTGCGCGGGGGGAGGTAAATGTGCATCTGTGTACTCCAGGTGCAAATCTTAGGTATGTAATTCTCCTCAGTAGCACAGGAAGTCAGGAAGTGCATTTTTTTTTTAAAGTGCCTCGCAAGCCTGAGCTGTTGCTACTAGTCTGGTCACTTAAGTATGCATGCCCTCTGGCTTTGAAGGCCCCTGCAGGAAACAGTCCATGTTCTAGGCTTTCCAGAAGATCCATGGGTAACTTTTACCAGTTGTGAACAGAAGGCAGGGACATTATTTTAGATACTTTTTTCTATGTGGGGCAATGTCCCAGGTAACCCGACGGTGAAATAGCCACTAGAAAAATCAAGACAAAGCAGAAGAATCTAAGAATGAGAAAATGTTCTTTTGAAAGCAGAATATGTACAGAACGCAGCAGGCTTTCTTGATACCAGATGCAGGTAGGAGGAGGGGATAGAAGAAGATGGGGTGCATGATGCCTGTAATAGTTGACGGAATAAGTTTAATAAGGATCTAGGCCAAGGGTGGGCAACAAGCAGCCTGCAGGCTGGATGCAGTTCACCAGGATTAGTCCAGGTTGGGGCGCCAGACATTTTGTTTACCTGAATGTCCACTCTCAGCTCCCATTGGCTGAATTTGTCATTCCTGACCAATGGGAGCTGGGGGAAGTGGTGCAGGCTGGGTCAACAAGGGCTAACCCTGGCAAGCTGCATCTGGCTTGCGGGCTGCTTACTGCCCACCTCTGATGTAGGCCCAAGTCACAAAAACACAGCTCCCTCCTGCTTGTATGACTCCCATTAGAGGAAAACAGACCCCCAGCACCTGCAAGGTCCCATTGCCTTGATGTGAGATGTCACACTTCCTTCTGAGCATTCTGAGTCTTGTCAGGATGTTTTAAATCCATAAATAGTCAAAGAGCCTTGTGTAATCTGAAGCCAGTTTCCAGCTGCCAACTTTGCTAAGCCTGATACAGTCTGTCCTTGCCAGCTTTTGTAGGTAAAAATCTCTGCTCTCACTCTTCCTGCTCACCCCCCGCCCCTTTCCTTCTTTTCTTCCTACTTTTTGTTCTTATGAAACAAAGCTCATCATAATAGATTGAGTGGATACATCAGCAAAAAGAGCAGCACAAAAACAACTGACATTTTCAGCCAATTGTCATTGCATTAAACTTTACCTGTCTGCAGAATAACTTTCCATTCCGATGAGTGAGAGTTACATGCATAGTTTCCATTCTCGCTCTAGTACATACAGACCCAGAGAATTCCTTCTAAAGCTATTTCGCCATAGTTTCTGCACTTCACCATACGTTATGATAGTACAAATGGAAGTGAAGGCCACTAAATATGTCTGTGTGCTTGCACAGAGATCCAGATGGAGCATGTTCCTTGATAAACAAAGTAGACAAAGCTGGAACTCAAGCTGTTTGGAAGCCTGTTTGCATCTTCAGTTAGTAGCTGTTTTCTTCTTTCTACTCCTGTTTCGGTAGCTCTCTAATTTTCTCTTGATACCCTGTGCCTAACCCTCCATAGATCCATCCAGTTATGGACTGGAAATCTCCTTTTTCTGGCTGATACAAATTAAATGACTGCCACATAGAATTTCTTTTTTCCATTCTCTCCCTTGTACTCTCATGTCACCGTTTACTACTAAAAGGCTAAAGAAAATTATTGTTGGGAGTCAGAATTTTAACTTGGTTTATTTTTATTCTTGACATAGGAACATGCTGCAATTTATCTCACCAGCAGACATAGGAAAGCGATGGCTTGCTATGCCTCAGCACAGGAGCTCACAATTAATGTGTGCATGTGATGGTCACTATAACTGTGGGCTGTAAATGACTCTCATCTTCTGTTAATAATGATAGAAATGTAGCCGTGTTAGTCTGGTGTAGCTGAAACAAAAACAGGACTATGTAGTCTTTTTTGTTTCTTTGTTAATAAGGCACAGAGAAAAATATGTAACACACACTGAGCAATGGAGAACTCACAATTCAATCCCACATGGGACAGGAGAGGAGGAGAACAGGTCTATGCACATGCACTAAGAGCAAACTAGATCCCCCCATAATTTTTTAGATTCATTCTCACTTCATCAGCTTCATTTCCTTCCTAGTCATTATTAACTATGTCTGCTTCAGTGCTTTGCCTTTTCTTTATCAGATCTTGCATTTGTCTTGCTTACAGCAAACAAATCCTGATCAGAGCCACTCTTCAATCAGAGCCACGAAAGCTCATCATCTAATAAACCATCTTGTTAGTCTTTAAAGTGCTACATAGTCCTGTTTTTTGTTTCAATCTCAAGGTACATGAAGAACACAAAAATGAAAGAGCATGGAACTGAATACAGAGTATAAGCTAAATAGCTGGTGCTGACATTTCCTGTGACAATAGCATTGCAAACCTGAGACTCGAGTGCACGTCCGCTCTGAAAAATAAGGAAATATAACTTCTTCTTCCTCTGACTTTAGTGACAAAGACTTAGCTAACTCAGTTCCAAATGCAGGGCCAAATCATGGTGACATTTCTTGCTTTCAACCTCGGTGCTACTGGACCAGGCACTCTAACTGCACCTTCTTATGCCATTTAAGTAACACAAGGGCTGCCGAATATGATCAGCATTGGTGATCACTCATCCAAGTTGGAGTTTTACCAATTACAAGGGTAAAAAGAATGTTTATATTCCACTGCCAATCATGAGGGCCTAGGGTTGCCAGATGGTTTTTGAAAAAATACCGAAAAAAAAGACCCTGAGAGTTATTAAGCAAAAAATCCCCAAAATGAACAAACAAACAAAAAGCGTGGCCCCTTTAAGAAACGCTTTGCTTTTGAGGCTTTTTGGCCATAACAGGCTGCTGGCGGCCGCCTGCCATCATGCCTCCCTGCGCCAGGCTGGACAGGTCCCCTGAGGAACCCGGTAAGCACACAGGATTTTCACCTCCTGTCCGGGAAAAAAAAATCAGAAAATACTGGACATTTTAGGTGTCCGGTATTTTCTGATTTTTTTTTTTTTTAACTAGACAGGAGGCGAAAATACCAGACACCTGGCAACCCTATGAGGGCCATATAGTTCTTGAAGAACAATCTAAAAATTCAGACTGCACTGAAAGCAAAATCTAGCAGCAAATATGAAATGAGAAAAGAAATCCCTTTAATTAACACACTATCTAATTACAGAATATTATACCAGTATTATATGCACATGTACATCTCTTGAATGAGCACAGAAAAGAAAGCATGCAACTCAAAAAATGAAGTGCAATGCTCCACACTCAGGCCCTGATACAGGAAACATGTATATGTTTGCGAGTAGTCTTATTGACTTCACAGTATTTATACTAAACCGCAAGTTTAATTGTGTGAATTAGGGATGTTAAAATGCATTTATTTTGGTAAACATGTAACTGCTGAAATTTTCAGCAGTTACTCTTTTACACACGGAGGCGGCGGCTCTGTGGGAGTCGGTGGATGTGGGGAATCAGCTTTTAAGCCGGCTCCCCACTCATACTCGCTTCTGCAGAGCTGTCTCTGCATCCTTCCCACTGTGTTGCTGCTGTTGTCAGAGGCAGTAGCATGGGGAGGGGGGGAGAAGGGGGAGGCCAGTAAGGCAGGTGGCTCTCTAGAGCTAGTGTTCATGGGGAGCCTACTTAAAAGTCAGATACCTGTGAGCACCGGCTCAGACCTGCCTCCTCCCTTCCTGCACTGCTGCCTTTAATACAGAAGCAGCAGCGTAGGGGGAAGAGGGAATACGTGTAACCGTTTACACTATCACATCTCTAGTGTGAAGTCAGTGTATTTACACACAGGCACATGATTTCAGTAAGATTACTCACATGCCTAGAAGTGTGTACTCATATGCTTTACTGAATTGGAGCCTAACACAGTGCCTTTCATCTGAGGATGTCATGGTGCTTTATAATGCTGCACGTGGGTCAATGGGAGATAGTCTCCTATCGACTTACCTTTCTCTTCTCGACCAGGGTAGAGGACCGGGGTTGACTAGAGAGCAATCTGAGGTCGATTTGGTGGGTCTTCACTAGACCCGCTAAATCAACTGCTGGTAAATCGATCTCTACTATCTCGATCCCGGCTGTAGTGGAGATGTAGCCATAGTCCTTGTCTATAGACAAGAACTCTTATCCTTTTCCTGGATGCCAGTGAATAAAGCCTCCACCCATGCAAAATGCGGGGGTAATAAACGTTACCTCTGGGGGAATACTGTCATCTGAGTCCGAGCTGTCATCATAACCACTGCCGTCTAAATTCATCAGTAAGAGTTGGTCAATGGTGGCATCTACAGCTCCGTTGTTAGCCCTCAAAACACATTCAATAATGTCATAATCCATATTGGGGAACATAGTCTTGAAATCCTCCATGGCTTGGTTGAACTCCAGCCGTCGGACCTGCCTGGTGGGCCGGCTATTGTTGAGGTCCTGGGCGGAAGAGCTGTTCCTTGAGCTGCCATTGCTGCTGCTCCGCCGGAACAGGCTTGTCATTTTTGAGAGCTGTTTTTGAAAAATGTTTAAACTTTAAAAATCTGCTTTAGAAATAAAAAAATTAGACTATAAATCCTAGGTGAGGAAAAGCGAGAGGGGAGAGCACCGTCTGCCAGCTTTGTGGTCAAGATGCTACGTAGCCATCCTTTAACACTACTGCCCAGTTATGCAGCACACAATAGGGGGATCTGCCAACTTTGTGGTCAAGATGCTACGGAGCCATCCTTTAACACTACCGCCCAGTTATGCAGCACACAATAGGGGGACATCTGGGACGCCTCAGCAGAAGAGCAGGGACTGCTGTGCAAACATGGAGGGGCCTGGCTCCAAGCAATTGTCCACTGGGGATCTATGTTGGACAGGTCTTCAGCAACATGACAGCCTTTTGAGACACCGGAGCATGATCTAACCTGGAAACAAGAAACAAAACACACTTGGAACAGAATCATGAGGGAAACAAATCAGGATTTTTTTTAAATAGAAAGAAGGCTTTTTGATTGAAAAAAAAATGATCCTTTGATCAAATGATTTTTTTCTTTATTGTGGAAAGACGTTGACTTCCCTCTAAATATTTCAGGAAGTTTGTCAAAAATGATTTTGAAATCATTGACAGAGTCAGAAAGGGTATATGTATGAATAAGTGTGTGCGCACAGCACCTAATTTTCAGTAGATGAAACATTTAAAAAATGCCAAGAATGTTTCTGATCAAAATTTTGATTAAAAAAAGGAGGGGAGGAGAAAAAAATAATTGAAAGTGGGTATACTTCCAAACCTCTAGAGGGAAACAACACAATTAAAAAAACCTTTTTGACCAGCCATGGAGCTTAACCCGCAGCAGCGTTACAATTCCTAAAGACTGTACCTATTAACTATTAATTATCTATTAGCCTGTCATTAGGTCTAAGGCAGAAGACAGCTCCCAGGATAGAAGATGACACTGCATATACTACATTTGTATCTTAGCCTCATTAAATACAGATAAGGAGGACACTTATCTCAAGTACAAAGAATGAGTGAAACAAAACTGGAGGGTTTGCAAATCTTTGGACCTCTCTCCAGGCAAAGAAATACAACTAGCATCCAGATACCACAGTGCTAGGCATTAGCAAGCAGAGAAATATACTCTTACTATTTAGGGCTGGGAGGAAAAGCATAACTAGGCATATCACAATTTGGTTTTTTTTGTCAGTGGAGTCCTGGCTTCCAGTGCCCAGTTCAAACCACTAAGCCACACAGTCTCCATAAACATCATAATGCTGTACTTTCAAATATTTATTAAGAAGTCAGTGACTAAGCAGTCATGTTTATATGGCACTTACAGAAATGAGTACAGTTATCTGCAGAGAAAGCTTCAGAGGGAGATTTTAAAACTGTCAAACATTTGTATAAACAAAGTCATTTGGATTTGCTGCTGAGAATGTGAACTTTGAGCTGCTCTTTTAGAACAAGAACTTCAAAAGGGACAGGTGTCACCACAATTTAGATAACACATTACCTTACTTCCCTCTCCAAGTAATCATATCAATCTTCTGATGCTGTTATAAATTCCTCTTTAATAAATCCCTCCTTATATGTTACAAGAATAACAACTCTAAGGGGAGGAGGTTGGTCTTCTTTTTCAAAAGGAGCTACTGAATTCCCTACTGAATGCAATAATGTCCAAAAAAAATGTACAATCATTCATTGTTATGCAAATTACAGTAGCACACAGAAACCCCAATCAGTCATGGATTCGGGACTCTGATGTGCTAGGTGCTGTACAAACAGAAAAAAAAGGTGACCTCTGCCCTAAAGAGATTACCATCTGAATAAATAACAAATGCATTTTCTGCCCCCAAAGAGTTACAATCTTAAATAAAACCATTGAAAATCTCCAGATACATTGTTGTTATTTATAAATAGTTAAGTGCCTCTATAAACAGAGAAAGTGAGTAGAACTACTTCTAACAATTGTAGAACAGAAGATAAACACTTTGCAACATAGCATCAACATTGGAAGAAATCGCCAAATCCAAGATTAACTTTCACTTTAAAACCATAAACAGATTATATAGCTCCTGCCTCTTGTTTGGAGACATAGGGCCAAATTCATTGTTAGATTAAACTACACTGATTAACAGATTTACACCAAGGATAGATTGGTCCATAATATAAATTTTCGAGGGCTCTCTCTTAATTGGCTGGTGAAAAGTTCAAGACAACTGTTGCAGAAATTATATTTAATTACAAAAAAAACCAAATCAAATTATTTTAAAATAAAATGTCAGAAGGACCTTAGCCAAACATCATGTAATCAGATTCAAAACCATTAGGCAGAGCAATAGCCTTCTAAAGTCACCCGTGAATAACTGTTTGATTATCATGTATCTGCATTATGCATTAAAGTTATGTTCCTTATACTATCCAATTCATGTTAGCAATAAAGCTGTGGGCTTTTACATCTTGAGTTATTCTAAGCAATTTAATAGGCTGCATAGCGTCTGTTAGGGGGATACTTACCGGGTAACTGGTTAGCCAGTTAACCGTTAATATCCCTGCAATGCAGTAGAGGTCCCTCCAAGAATCTGTACTAAGCCCACAGAAACATTAGACAGATGTGCTTAATTCTGCACTTCTGTTTGAAGCCTCTTTTCACAATAATGCCCTGCTCTGTTTCTGATGCCTCATGAAAGCACTCTGGCTTGTAAGCATCTGGGTGCACCCATGTCCTCCTCTTTTCTTTGTCTTAGCTCGGATTCTGCATTGCTATTGAAATCAACATATTTTGAAAATGTAGAAAAACATCCAAATTTAAACTCATATTCTATTATTGTTAAACAGTGCAGTTAAAATTGTGATCAACTGTGATTACTTTTTAACATTATAATTAATTGCAGTTAATTTTTTAAATAATTTGACAAACCTAATTATTCATATTACAGTAGTGGGTAGAGGGCTTCATCGTCCTAGTCATTATAAATACAAACAGTGAGAGACTGTCTGTACCTGCTCCAAAGAGTTTACAATTTAAATCAATGATTCTCCACCCATGGGTTCTAGTCACTTGCGGTCCAATCAGCATAGACCTGTGGCCCATGTGACATCCTTGAGGCCATACAGGTTATATATATATTGTGTGGATGAGGCCCACATAACACAAGAAGAATTGCATATGCAACCCACAATTGTAAATAGATTGAGAACTACTGACCTAAATAAATAAGAAAAAGGGTGAACAGGAGCCAGGAACAGCACTGTCCTCATTTATAGTTTAGGAACAGCGGGCACAAAGATTAAATGACTTGCCCAAAAGCACTTAAGAAACCTGTGACAGAGCTTGGAATTAAATAATTCTTTTTGGAGGCCCAATCCCTTTGTGCCCCATCACCACTACCTCTTAACTGCATTAGGGAGCCACACAAACTCAATATAAATTGATGGGTCCAACTGAAAACATGTCTACAATAGTAGCCATGTTGGGAGAGGAAACACTGTTACTAGATGAGCAACAAGGAGTCCTGTGGCACCTTATAGACTAATATTTGTATTGGAGCATAAGCTTTCATGGGCAAAGACCCACTTCGTCAGATGCATGAACAGATGAAGACGAAGTGGGTCTTTGCCCACAAGCTTATGCTCCAATACATCTGTTAGTCTATAAGGTGCCACAGGACTCCTTGTCCTTTTACAGATCCAGGTTAACACGCCTACCCCTGATACTTGTTACTATATGATTGCCCTCCAATAAATTCACATATGGTTTTATAATGCAATACAAATTGGCCTGACATGTTTTCACTATATTGGCAAATATACACAGCCCTGCATCATTAACCACTGGTAAATGATCCCTTCAAGTCAGTTATGTTTCCAATTTAGCTAGGACAGTAGAACATGCAGAATTAGGAAGGCTCCAGTAGTGAGTGGGTCTCTTGAGTGACCCAGCCCTCCTTTGTCTCAGTGGGCCACATGCCCAGAGGTGGGCAATCTGCAGCCTACTGGGGTTACACCTATGGCTCGTGCACCCCCTCTCTGGCCCTTTCCCCCATGCACCTCTTGCTCTCTAGGGCACTGGGACCTGGCACTTCCTACTCCCCTTCCCTTCCAGCACTTTTGAAGCACCATGAATCTCCTGATTCATACTCTGTCTCCATTCCTCCCCCTCCCTCCCAGAGTTTGAACAGCTACAAACAAATGAGGGGGTACAAACAAGGGGTGCAGTGGCCACAGGTGGAATCCCAGTGGGCCACATGCAACCCATGGGCTGCAGGTTGCCCATCAGTGCTGTAATGTAAGCATCTGTAGAACTAGAGCCTGGGACTATGGAGGTTCTGGGCCACCAACACATACACATTGCCATTCAGAGCTTATGCTAAGTTTCTTCTCGGTAACCCTATAAAGCTAGACACTGCAGGAAGTATCACATAGTAGAGCCTGTGTAACAGTCTTCTTGCAGACTACTGGTTGACTGATGTGGATACAACAGCCAGGAAGTCATTACAGAAAGCAGTCTGAACAATTATGCAGGCTACCCACTTCTGCTCCAGAGCTTGCATTACCATGAACCTTCGATTCTGGCTTCTGACACCACTTCATCAAGGACTCCAGTACAGGCTTCCTGTCTGTATCTGACCCTGTCTTCCTGGTACTGGTATACTCCCTGTCTTCCTCACTCAAACTAGGGTTATTAAATATCGATTAACTGAATAGTCAATTAACCTCGTGAATTCTTATTGGTTACTCAACTATTCTATAGCCTCCAGGAGTGAGACCGGCAGCCAATGTGCTCCAGCCCCACTCCCGCAGAGCGCTTACTTCAAACAACGTTTTCAAAATGGGAAAGCACTTATTACTGGGTGAATGGTAAAGCCAGACATGCTTTGTGTGTGACATTTCACAGATATATTCCTCTGATTCCTCCTGGGTTTTGAATTTGCCATGCTGGGATTTTTTCATTTCTCACATTTCATGAGATTTTTCAATTAGTCTTCCTCCCATGCTACAAAAACAAGAGCAGTTGATCTTGTTAACATTGCTGGTTTGTGCTGTATATATAGGACACTTTTCTACTAGTTCTTTCAGAAGGAAGGTCCCCATTTGGATTTTATTTTTTATGCTTAATCTTTCCGCAGACTGCTGCACTAAATCCAACCTAAATTAATTTGATGCCTTTTCAAACCAAGGCCAAGATCTTTCAACTAGAAC